ATTTAAGGGTGCTTATTTTAATGAAAAAGCTTGTGTTTGTTCCCTCTGGGGTGATGCCTGGTAAGCTCCATAGGTAAACAAACCCAGCATTTCTGATATAGGTAGAGCTCAATTTAAGAAGCACAGAGGTAGAAATTTTTTTTCTTCCCTGGGGATATGTGTGTGTATGTGTGACATAATTTGTTAGTGCAAGTCATAGGTTAAGTCTTTTTTTTAATGTATTCAGTACAGGGTCTGTAGGGTCTCACTATACAGGTGAGACTCACAGTGATCCTCCTGTTTTCAGCCTCCCAAGTGCTGGGATTTTGCACCACCACGTCCAGTATCATTTGCCATCTCAGCGCTCCCCAGGGGTGGGTCTGCCACGGCACGCCGGGGATCGAATCCCGGTGTCTGCACCCTGCCTAAGCAGGTGCTTTGTCCTGCTGAGCTATCTGGCTGGCCAAAGTCTTTTCATTTTCTGTCATGATTTCCCCCTGATAATAAATTTTCACACAGGAAATATTACGATATAGTAAGAGCTTCTGAATGGAGCACTTGAGTAATTTTAATCCCTCAGTCTACCTGCTATATAGAGCTCCAGCATTGCAGATGAGCTAGCGTTTGAGACCAGTTCACTCTCAGCAGATAGTTTTGAAGAGGTCATCTGACTGGAACTCCAGGTCCTAGTGGAAGCATTTTCCCTGAGCAGTTTTTAGGACTGCCCTCTGCCCTTGCTGGCATCTTTATCCAGCCCTGGGAGTTTGCCAGAAATGTGGATTTGTGAGTCCCGTTCTAAACTTAATGAATCAGGAACTCTGGGAAATGGCCTAATCTGTGTTTTTCACAAGCCCTTTGGGTGATTCAGGTGCCTGCTAAATTTGGGAACTACTAGGCTAGAGAATCAGACAAATGGGGTGTCTGAGAGACAGCTTTTCATTTGTCTCTGGTTATTTGAGGCTAAAATGATCTAAACCAATTGACAGCTTTCTTACCACTTAACGACTATTAAAACAACCAAGTTGGGAGGCTGTTTAACTTGAAAATTGTTACATCTCACATTTTGGCATTAAAATAGTTTTAAGAGATTTTAGAATCTGCATCCTATTAGTGAGATATCGCCAACATTCCACTAATTAATAACTGTAAAGACAAAGTATTGATGGCTTATGAAGACAACTTTATCAGTCCCCAGATGCTTCTAAAGCTAATAAATACTGACAAAAGACATCTGTTGAAAATCTGAAACTCCATTGCTTGCTTTGGATCCTAAAGAAAAAAAAAAACTTCTCCAAGTAGCTATTCGAGTAGGCTATTTCTCTGATTCAGGAATTGCCTTTTTTTTTTTTTTTTTTTAAACAGAGAAAACAAAACTTCCTTTTTCCCAAACTTTTTTTGTTTTAGGCGTTTTGGAATACTGGGACTCTACAAAGGCCTTGAAGCCAAACTGCTTCAGACAGTCCTCACCGCCGCACTCATGTTCCTTGTTTACGAGAAGCTCGCGGCTGCCACCTTCACCGTCATGGGGCTGAAGCGCGCGGCCCCCAAGCCCTGAGCCGGCCTGGGACAGAGCAGAGCCTCTGGAGACGGCCCCTTCGGAGTATGAGGGGCGATGCTCCTCCTCATCAGCTCCTTCGCCTGCGCGTGGCACCCTCAGTGGCTGGGAAGGCCTGGAGGGGAATCGGGGAGCTGAAACAGTGTGATAGCTGCTCGGATTTGGCCGGACTTTTCCGCCTGAAGTTTTTCTTAACTGTTATGCTCGTTCCCCAGACTTTCTCCTAGGTTCTAGAACAAGTTCAAGAATGTGTAATTCTCCTCAGATACTTTGCAGATGTCTTAGTCTTGGTATTTTCCTCAGTGAAAGTGACATTTTGCTGGTGCCATGGGCATGACTTTATTTTTGTTGGGCTTTTCTTTTCCTCCGTAAGGAGAGTTAAATAAACTATTTTGTGGAGAAAATGAATATTAATCCCAAGTGATTCGCTTATGAACTATTTGTAGACAACACTTATGCATTAGTGTTTGATAGTTTTTAAAAGTATTTATTTTGAATCAGCTCTGTTAATAAAAAGGCAGAAGTTTTATGTCCATCCGTATACAACTGCAATCAACATACCCAAAATTTCTGTGCTCAAATAAATTGTCAGCACAAATGATGTCCTTGGAAGTTGTTCTTCATTGAGATGTATAATCAGTTGTGTAACCAATGCCAAAATCACAAAAAGGGGAGGATGTGCCTTTCATCTCAGCTTTAGAGGTAAAGAATGCAAGACTTTATGCAGGTTCAAGGCCAGAAAGACACCTTGGTGTACACCCTATCTCAGAATAAAAAGAGCAACTAGGCATGGTGGCTCACATCTGTAATCCCAGCACTTGTGAGGCTGAGGCAGGAGAGTGGCTATGAGTTTGAGGTCAGCCTGGGCTATATAGTGAGGCTCTATCTTAAAAAACCAAAATAATAATGATAATAATAATAATTAAAAAAAGAGCTGGTGGTGACCATGGCAGGAGACTCACAAGTTCAAATCTAGCTTGGGAAACATCAATAGCTGCCTCAAATTTTTTTTTTCAAAGAACCTGAGGATGTACTCCCAGCATGCATGAGGCCCTGGGATTCACTCTCAGAACAACAAAAAGTGGGGGTGGCTCTGGAATATTCTCTGCCTTTATAGACTAAGGGGAGGCCATATATTTTGAGAAACATCAGAATAAGGTTATTTCATGTTTAGAAAGATTCCCTGGACTTATCAAAGTATGGCCCAGCAAGCAGTACCATTCACAGCAGCTGACAGCTCGCTGTGCTGACAGCTCAGCCTTCTGAATCATTCTGCAGTTTAACAAGATCCCTGGGTGATTCATGTTCACATTAAAGTTTAAGAGACCTGGGGGCCGCTGGCCCAACAGAAGGCGGAGTAATTTCAATGACAGAAGGCAAGATTTTTCTCAGAGGAAAGCTGGGCTAATGTCTGAAGACAGCCTCTGGCAGGTCTCGGAGGCCACTGTCTGTGCGCTTGCTTCAGAACATGTAGCCTGGAGTGGCTTTACACATCTCAGGCCATTTAAGATGTGAATTTTCTAGACATTAGAATAATCCTTTGGATTCCCAACTTGGTTTTTGGTCCTTTCACAAGACAACAGGTTTTCATTTATAACTGTGATTCAGTCAGCTAGTGGGAATAATAAGGATACTTTTATGGACTCCAGTATTTCGTTCAGGTTTGAGCACAGCATTGTCTTTCTCTTGTTCTCCTTATTCCCTGGAGTAATTTGAAAAGATGTGATTTTTAAGCTGGTAATAATTGAAAGTTCATTGTGCTTTTATAGAAAACAAGAATTGGGAAGAACTACATTGAATACTTGTTCCCTATTTAAGCCAGAAATGTGAAGATGGAATTGGCCCCATTACTGGGGGGAGAAGGGGGTTTGTTTGTTTTTTTAAGATTTGCATTTGTCTGGTGGGTCTTGGTGGGAAACACAAAACTCTTTGATTTCTAGACAGGGGAATGATTTTTTAATGGTGCCAGTATACTTTTGTCATTGTTTTAATTAGGCTGTTCCCTTTGAAATTTAAATTTTTTTTGAAATTTAAATTTTGAGATCAGGATATTGTGAGTTGGTGTGTTAGAATAAATTCCAGCCCAAATTATTAGCTGTATTTGGTGTCCGTGATGAGATAAAGTATTTAATGTTTCTTTTCTTCTGATTTTATGAGCAAACAATTTAAGAATGAGGCTTTCTGTTCCTTGTGGAAGCTTATAGACTCAACTAGTTGAAACTAGTAACTCACCTTGTTTCGTAACCTTTGGTTAATAATAAGTTAACTGAGAAAACTAAAAAGCTGAAATCCGAACAAGGGAGATGGAATTTTTTTTTTCTTTTTGGTTCTTTGTGCAGTTTCTTTACAATACGAGGCTTAAGAAAACCTTCAGGAGTACAGCCATGTCATTGTGGTAGAAAATTTAATTTCTGTAAGTATTTAATCTATATTCTGAAGTGGACATTGTGTTCTGAAGGGTAATTGAGCTTTGTCTGTTTTACAGTTAACTCTGAAATGCAGAAATGTAATGTATCATAAGAACATAAGCAGTGGGAGTTAGAAATCTCCGGTTTTATTCCCAATCTTCCCATTGACTAACAAATAACAAATTACATCATTTCCTGTGCTAAAGCTCTTTGGTAAGTGGAAATAACAATACTCCCTGCCCACTTCAGAGGATGCGTAAGAGCTAATGCTGTCAGCTAAATCTCTTTAGGATCACAGTGTAGGGAGAATCTGAGAGAAACTTGTGACACTCCCTAGATTTATATAGCACTTTCTCTCACTTTATCTTTTTTTTTTTTTTTTTTTTTTTTTTTTTTTAGGGAAGGGTCTACAGGGTGTTCAGGGTCTCACTACTAGATCGGATTTGTAGTGATCTGCCTGTTTATAGCCTCCCAGGATCTGGGATTACAGGCACGTGCCACCACGCCTAGTCTACTTTCTCACTTTATAATCCCAACATCTCTATGAAGTAACAATATCCCCCCATATAATCAACAAACAAATGAAGATGAACTATTTAGGTGATTTGCTTGGTTGAAGCCAGGACCAGAATTGATTCTTGCAGGTTGGTGTAAGATTATGAGAATGGGTTCTGGAATTGGACCTCAGCTCAAACTCTGGCTCTACTCCTCACTGTTGTTGAGGTTTTAGGAAACTCAGTTTCCCTGCCTATGGAATGGAGATCTTGATAAAGCCAGCTCATGAGGCATCCAGAGAATTATATAAAATCCTGTCCTCAAATTGCTTAGCACACTGCTTGCCACGCAAGAAGAGCTGGGTAAATGTTGGTGATGACTTAGCAGTATTCTTGATGAGAGATACAGCTATTTGAGTAGATGTAACTGGGCTCCACAATGGGTTTTAATTAATTAATCTGGCACAGGGTCTCGCTATGCAGCTGGGACTCGGAGTCTAGTGTTTCTCCTGTCTCAGCCTCCCTAACCCTGGGATTACAGGTGTGTGTCACCACACCCAGTTTCAGGCCAGTGTGGCATGTGGTACTGGAGACTGAACCTAGGTCCTTGTGCTTGCCAGGCAGGCTCTTAGACTGCTGAGCTGTCTCTGCAGCCCCACACTGGGTTTTAAACCAGACCTGGAGTCTGATTTTCATTCCATCACATATATATTAGCTGAGGGGTCACAGACCAACCACTTACCTTTCTGAGTCTTTGTGTCCTGCATTGTCAAATAGAAATAGCTTGTTGAGGCTCTCCTAGGGATCCAGTAAGGGGCAGGTGCTTATACCCCAGCCCCCTCTTGGCTCTTAAAAAGCTAAAGAGCAGTGACTTTGTGGAGCCAGATGCCAAATACCCATGGGGAGCCTCCCCCTGTGCCTCTGAGTCTCTTACCTGGCCAGGCAGGATGTCACCAGAATGTGAAATACACAGGAGAGCTTACATGTAAGATTTTTGTAAGATTTTCCACGGGCTGGGGAGGTGGCTTGGCAGCCTAAGCACCTGTCTGGCAAGTTCAAGGACTGGATTTGATCCCTGGTACCACATGCCATGCTGGCCCACCAAAACCGGGGGTCGTGGTGCACACCTGTAATCCCAGCACTGGGGAGGCTGAGACAGGAGGATCACTATGAGTTAGAGCTGCATAGTGAGGCCTTGTACCAAATAAAAGATATAAAAAATTTAAGATTTTGTCCATACAATAATGTGGCACTAGTGGTCTCTTTGCCGCTATATAAATAAAAAAGCCTTGGTTAGTGCTGATCTGTTGGGGCATACTGGTAGCCCCTGAAAAGTATGTTCAGTGGGAGTTAATGAGCGAGAAAAAGTTTTCCAGGATGTGAGTGAGAGAAAAAATGAAAGAAAATTATCAGTGAAAAACAAGACGCCAGATGTGGCACACACCTTGTAATCCCAGCACCCGGGAGACTGCGGCAGATAGATCATCATGAGTTTGAGGCCAGCCTAGGCACCTTGCCTAGCACAACACTCAGTGAAGACATTCTCAAGTTGTGGCTGGTCCTTGCAAGGTCGTGAACTACAGCACCCACGCTGTGATGAAATTAAAAAGGGAAATTCAGTTGGGAACTCTCACAGTGCATGAGATGGGCAATTGGGTCTGTGCAGTGGATGCCAGTCATAACTGATTTCCATACATGTTGGTGTCCTTGTGGTAACTCCAAGGACAGGTTTATTCCTCTTAGCAGAAGAGCTGGCTGAGGCTTAATGAGCAGCTTGCCTGTAGTTGGGCAGCTCCTGAGTAGGGCTCAGGATTCAAGGTTGAGGCTGACTTCATAACTTTGCCATTGTTACCCTAGCTCCTTCAGGTGTCCCTAACACCATCAAAGCTAGTTTGTGGTTCCCTTCTACACCGCAGAGGGGAGTGTGATTGAAAACCTGTAGTTAGTTCAGTGATGAGCTCTTGCTACCCGATTCTGATGCCACACAGCTCTCGGATGTGTGGCCTTCATACCCAACACTGGATCCCTGAATCCATGTTCTTTGTCACTCTCATTTAAGCTTTGGGCAAGGGATTGGCTTTGCTCTCACACCCGAGGGTTGTCAGCATTTTGTGTCCACGTCTGTCATCAGA